GGATGATGTGTGGTCAGTGGATGATGTGTGGTCAGTGGGTGTTGTGGTGGACCGTTGTGGTCCCCTGTTCTTGGTGTCACTCTTGGGCCTGAAACCAGTCAAGCCTCTATTGGGCATGTCAAAATCATGAGGCCCCGAGGCCCAGTGCCCTCGGTTCAGGTTGGGTAGAGCCCAACACTGGTCACTTTGCTTGACCCCCACTCCTTGCTGGCTCCCAGTGTGGGCTTCATCTGGTTCTGTCCTGATTCTGTCCCTAATTCTCCTTCTCCCCAACCTCTCCTTCTTTCTGCCTGACTTTAGCCGGAATCTGACATGAACTTCCCAAAGCTGTCTCCACAGGGGAAGGTTCTGATATTTGTGGGCCAGGTTATTTGGGAAGTCAGAGGTCAGAGTAATTGTTGTGGAGTCAGAACCCCCATAAGTGACCCCCGGGAGGGTTTTGGAGGCTACAGATCCCACTGGAGGGGACTGCCCATCTTTCTCCCTCAGAGGACCTGGTGGACTGACCCAGCAGAGAGGCCTGGCCGTGGGTCCACAGCCGTCCCTCTGGGGGCCCCCCTAGAGCTTCAGGCTCCCCGGCACTTTCAGGAGGGAAAGGCGAGATTGTCCTTAGAAACGGAGAATCTGCAAATCCGTCGGCATGAGTACCTGACCTCCGGGATGGCATCTTCAGGTCAGCTGTCCAGTCGTCACGGGGCATGCCAAGGCTTTCAAAATGGTGTCTGTCCTGCTAGGTGCTTGGTCATCATGGAGTGTGGCCTTTCACGATGACCGCCCTCTCGGAGGTCGCACAGGGGTCACTCACACAGCTCACCCAAGCCCCTAGGCGCGTTAAAGGTGGCTGATAAGAGGGAAGGCCTGGGGCACACCGGCTGCCCGGCAGTCTGAGTTCTTAGGCCTTGGCGTCATGTGTAACCACGTGCTGGCCTTCATGGTCCGAACTGTCTCCGAGGAAAACACTTTGATTCAGTACATAATGGAAAGAGAATAAAACAAATAGCAAAATCTGTGGTTCAGTGCAACCCTAGCAGTAACTCTAAGTTTAGAACAGTTAGAGGTTTTTCTTGCTGTTCCCTGAAAGGCCGCCTTTGAAACGAGATCTTAAGGACCTTATTCAGTGTGTTACCAGACGGGGAGTGAGGCTCGGCCACAGGCTGCAGAAGGGAGAGGCAGACCTCAGCGTCCACACAGGGCTCCAGGGTGATGAGCTCTTCCTAACGGGGTCCTTCCAGCCTGAGGACAAGGGGCCTCACCTGCTACAGGCCTCTTCCAACTGCCCTTCTCGGCCACAAGGGCACTTCTTGCCTTTGAAATACTCTGAGAGAAGATAGTTGTCTATTGTCATCCCTTCATAATCATGATTGTCATCTCACCTAAAAGAATCTTCTAGGTGGGTCCCTGGTGCCTGTGGGAAGTTGAGCATGTTCCTCTGCCCCAGGTGCTTCCTGGACCTAAGATGTTGACTTGACCTAGCAGAGCCTTGACTGGGTTCAGACACGTTCCTCTGTCCCCGGTGCTCCCTGGGCCTAAGATGTTGGCTTGGCCCAGCAGAGGCCTCTCTGGGTTCAGACAAGTTCCTCTGCCCTGCGTGCTCCCTGGACCTGAGACACTGACTTGACCCAGCAGAGCTTTGACTGGGTTCAGGCACAGCATCTTCAACAGGACTGCTGGCTCCATCGCACGATGTGTCCTGTCCACTGTGTCGTGATGTGAGGGACGTCGGCACTCCTCAGCTGACTTCATCGGCATGTGGTGATGTTCTGTCGTCCAAGCTTCACTCCACCGACAGGAAGATCTCGTCCACTCTAGTTTCCCGAGATGTTCAGGGCATTGAGGATCAAGGCCCACTTTGTCATGTTTCTGAACTTCCCCTGGTGTCTGCCAGAGGTAGTGGTTACTGAGTTGGCATAAACGTGTATGCTGGTTTCAGGACACTGTGTCCATTGATGCCTCAGTGGGCCCATCTTTGGCCAGTAAGAGGGCCTCTTCAAGTCGGCCCATGGGTCCCCTGATGTCACCTTCCCTTTGCTCCTAGGGGGCAGAGCAAGAACAAACCTAACAGGTGGTGCAAACGGTCAACTCTCACAGCTGCTAACCAACACTTCGGAGGCTCAGGTCTACCTAGTTCCTGAAACGGGCCATGGAGTTGCCTGCAGCTCACAGTGACCCTGTATACGTTAGCTCTGGACCTGCCCTGTCCTGAGCCAATCTCATCATCTCCAACAGACCTAATCTCATTGCTCCAGTCACTGAGCCAATCCATCTCATCCTGCGCCCTCCTTTCCTGTGCAGACTGTGCCTCCACCCTTCCAAGCATGATGTCCTTCTCCAAGGACTGGCCCCTCTGGCCCAAAGAATATGAGACAGAGCTTCAAAATCCTTGGCTCCAGGGAGCAGATTGGCTTCACCGTCTCCAGGACAGACCTGATGGCTCTCCTGCCAGTCCACAACTGTTCAATACTCCTCTCCAGCACCACAGCCAAAAGGCATTGATCCTTCTTTTATTATCCTAAGTTATTGTCTAGCTCTCAGATGCATAGCAAGTAATTGCAAAGATCATGGCCTGGATCAGGCACACCTTAGTCTCCAGACTGACACCGTTGCTCTTCAGTACTCTGGAGAGGTCCCTGACAGCAGTCTTTCCCAATGCAGTTCAACTTTTGATTTCATGACTGCTGGTGCTACAAGTGTTGAGTGTGAAACCAAGCAAGCTTTGAGGGTCCAGGTCCACCTCGAGACACTTCAGAAGAAAGGCTTGATACCCTTCTTACCCCGAGGCATTGGGATCCTCAGGGTCACAGCTCTGTTCTGACCCCACGGGCTCAGCCTGAGACCACAGTAACTCGAAAGCTCTCCTCAGACACAGGGATGTTGAGACTTGATGTCACATCCTTTGGGCCTGTTATCAGGAGGGTCAGCAGAAAGGAGGAAGCGTGTCAGGGAGCTGGACTGGCACGGTGGCAGCCATGCTGGCAGCAGGGGGCTGGCACGGGACAGCAGGGATTGTGGGGATGGGGTGGCGTGGGGCAGCTTTCCTTCTGTTGTCCATGGGCTCACTGAGTCAGAGCCCCTCTTCCTAACTCTGCTTGCGCTCTTCTTCCTGGCGTGCTGGCAGTGCCCCCGGACACTCCTGGCTCCAGACCTGGCGTCACCCTTTCTCCAGGGAGCCCCACCTCCTTCCCCTCAGAGCCCAGATTCCAAGACTGCAATCTGGAGACCAGATGTGCTCCTTCCCAGAAGTGCAGTCACTGCGTCCAGAACTTTCCAGTGGCATGATCACGGGAAGCTTTTCTGTTTTAAGATAAAATAGAGTGAGCTCTGGTGGCCTAGTGGCAAGAAGCTGCACTGCAATCTGAGAGGTTAGTGGTTCAAATCCACCAGATGCTTTGCTGGAGAAGGAGGAACAATCTCCTCCTGTACCAGTCAAATCTGATTTGACAATACTCACACACAAATAATAAAAAGAATATATAAAATAGGTCTGTGGGAAGAATACAGTACTTTGTGGGTCCACCTGGGGCCCAGATCCAAAATGGTGACTTTCATGTCATTGATTTTGTAAAAGTTTTTATTGTGAGCTGATGCACATTATATATTATTAGGGAAAACCCATAAATGATATGGATTGTATCTCAACACCAAGAAGACAAAAATTCACCCCACTAGACTGGTGAGAAACATCATGGCAGACGGAGAAAGGATTGCAGTTAACAATGACTCCATCTAACTTGGATCCACAATCCTCAGTCAGGAGATCAGGAGACAGATTGCACTTGCAAAGTGTGCGGTCAGGGACCTCTCCAAATTATTGAGGAGCAGTGATAGCAATTTGAGGACTAAGGTGTGCTTGGTTCAGCCATGGACTTTTTAGTCCCTTGCTATGCATCTGAGAGCTGGACAATGAATAAGGATGACAAAAGAATTGATGCCTTTAAGCTGGTGTTGGAGAAGAGCACTGACTATCCCACGGACGGCCAAAAGGACAAACAGATATGTCTTGGAGCAGGTGCAGCCAGAGTGCTCTTGGAGGCAAGGATGATGAAGCCTTGTCCCACATACTTTGGGTACGTTGCTAGGAGACGCTATTCCTTAGAGAGGGGCATCATGCTTGGAAAGGTGGAGGGTTCAACAAAAGACGGGAAAACTCTTCACTAGATGGACTGACACAGTGACCACAGCAATGGGCTCAAATGTGTCAGAGATGATGAGGACGGCGCAGGACAGGTTCAGATCCATTGTCCATGTCGCTGTGAGTCATACGTGATTCAACAGCACCTAGCAACAAGCGTGTTATCACATTTGACACCTGATGTTTGTGACATGGACCACAGTGCCCACACTGTAACAGTCCCCTTCCCGTCTCAGCGGGTGGAAGGAAAGAACGGGAACATTTCACTCATCCTCCCTCCAAGTCCTCCTTCCCCACACTGGTCAGCCCGGTTCTCCCTGAAAGCGTCACGGCCGCTGGTCTCTCCCACGTGACCCACATCCCAGCCGGCCCCCACCGCGGGATGCAGTGTGCGCTGTGACGCTGGCCGTGGTTTCTGTCCTAAAGCTGCCAGGCCAGCTCCTCTGCAGGGCTGGACACCCAGTGGCTCGAGTGGGTCACAACTTGGTTGCTCTTTATGACCAGGTTGTATACATTGTACTGTTTGTCACAGTGTGTGTCTCTGTCCGTCCACTGATGGCGACCGCCTTGGGGATCTGGCAGGGAGCAGGTGGGCACCAGGCTTGGGAGCTGACCCTGGCACCGGGGACCCCAAGTCATCATGAGTGACAGATATGATATGTGTCCACAGGACAGAGGGCTCCTGTGAACCTGGGCAGGGGTGCTGGTGGACCTGACCTTACCAAGGGTGGGTGGTTTCCCGAGCATTGGCGTTAACAAGGCCCTGGGGAGGACACAGCTGCCGGTCCCACTTACCCACAGGGGCCTCAAACAGTGGTCAGTGCCCCTAGGTCTGGCTGACCCCATGACCCCCACCCTGGTGGTGTTTCAGGAATTCTCTATGGCACCATGACCATGGAGCTGGGTGGCAAAGTGACCGTCGAGTGTGAGAAGAACCACCTCCAAGCTGAGCTGGAGTTCAAGCTCAAGGTAGAGGGACCACCAGAGGGGGTGGTGGAGTGAGGGGTGGAAACCTCAGGGGCACTGTGTGCCCAGGCCCCCAGATCACCCCAAAGCATGTACCCACAAAGGTGCGACCCTTGGCCTCCATAGCGCACGTGGGGTCCAGGGCGGGGGCAGGCTGTCAGGGTGGCCAGTGGGGAGGAGGACCTGCCTCCATCCCTCAGGGAGCAAGGCATCACATCCAGCTCTGGGTGGGGCCCAGGGAAGGCCCTCCACACTGACCTGCCCCCCACACTCACCTGTCCCCCACACCGACCTGCCCTCCACACTGACCTGCCTTCCACACTGGCCTGTCTCCCACACTGGCCTGTTTCCCACACTGGCCTGTCCCCCACAAGCTTGGGCCTCCTGTCTCTGCCAGCTCTTGGGAGGGCATGGGCCTCTATGAGAGGGTGCACTGGGACACAAGGGGCAGACATAAAGGGGGGACAGTAGGAGAGGGTGTGGGGCTCAAGGAGAGATGCAGAGACTGAGAGGACATAGAAGGCTCAGGTACCACAGAGAGGACACAGGGACAGAGCCGAGTACACAGTGACCAAGGAGGGGGGAGGGGACACTAGGAGGGGTCATGGGCTCAAGGAAAGGGTGTGAAGACGTAAGGACACTCAGGGACACTAGGAGAGCACAGTGGACACAGGAGAGGGTACAGCATGCAAGGTGATAGCATGAGGCCTGAGGAGAGGACACAGGGACCGAGGAGAGGACATGTGACATCAGGAGAAGACATGGGGCCCGAGGAGAGGACATGGGGACATCAAGAGAGGACATGGGAACATCAGGAGAGGACATGGGACAGGGAATCAAGGGGAGTCCCCAGGGTCAAGGAGCAGGCGAGATGTGGAAGGAGAGGCCGCAGCCCTGACCTGGCGCCCTTGCAGCCTTTCTTCGGGGGCAGTACGAGCATCAACCAGATCTCGGGGAGGATCACCGCCGGGGAGGACGTGCTGGCCAGGCTCTCCGGGCACTGGGTAAGCTGGGAGACATGGGGCTCTCTGTTTGCTGGGTCAGGCCCCCAGGAATGGTGGGGGCTCTCTGTTTGCTGGGTCAGGCCCCCCAGGAATGGTGGGGGCTCTCTGGATGCTGGGTCAGGCCCCAGGCAGGTGCATGTGACGTCACCTGGTTTGCTGTGGCTTCTGGCCAGCCCCTCCAATCCGCTTGGCACCCTGAGCCCTGGGTCTCCTGGCAGGACCGAGAAGTCTTCATCAAGGAAGAGGGGTTTGGGAGTGCAGAGCTCTTCTGGAACCCATCGGGGGAGGTGCGCGCCCAGAGGCTGAAGCGACACGTGGTTCCCTTGGAGGAGCAGACTGAGCTGGAGTCCGAGCGGTGAGGAGGAGGAGGACACCTCAGGGCCCATCCCTGCTGGTGGCTCAGCGGGGCCCAGGGTGAACCTAGAAGGGATGGGCCTCAGCTGTGCCCTGGGGCCAAGGAGGAGTCTGCCAGAGCTGGAGGCAGCCAGAGGGCGAGGGGGGCTGGAGAAGAGCGGACTTGAGAGGTCAGTGGACGGCTGACACCAGTAGGGAAGAGCCATCTGTGACAGTGCCATGGGGGAGTGAGCTCCTGCCCCAAGGCACTGAGCCCCTCAGGCCATCCAGGGGGGACGACGGGTGGTGGTTCCAAGCCCCCCGGCATGACAGCCCCTCACTCAGCTCAGTGCTCTCCACAGACTCTGGCTGCACGTCAGCAGGGCCATCGGTGAGGGAGACCAGCACAAGGCCACGCAGGAGAAGTTCATCCTGGAAGAGGCTCAGCGGGGCCGGGCCCTGGAGCGCCAGCAGACCCTCACGCCCTGGACCCCGAGGCTGTTCCGGCTGGACCCTGCCACCCAGGAATGGCGCTACCGACATGAGGAGTGGGTGCTGGGCTGGCCCTGGGGGACCCTGGGATGAGGTCTTCTTCCAGGAGACACCCTAACTCCCCCCCTCCCTCCTACTGCCCCCACCCTGGGTGAGGACTGGAGGGCATTGAGAGGATCCTCACTTTGAGGATATGCCCTTAACGTCTCAAAGAGCATCCTGCCCTGCCCCTACCCTGGGTGCCAACCGCTGCTGGAAGGCTGAGGGCCTAGAGAGGGCCCCTCACCCTGACAGCTGCCCCTCTGCTGACCCCCACCCTGTGACCTTCCAGCCACAGCCCCTGGGACCCCGTGAAGGACATCGAGCAGTTCGAACAAGATGGAATTCTCCACACCCTGAGGAGGACAGCCACGGCCCACCTCACGCCCTTCCTGTGCAGCCCAGGGGCCAGGCACAAGGTGAGCCCCTGCTCCGGACCCTGAGCTCCTGACTGCTGTGGTGACCGAGCACCGCCTGGCCCTCAGAGCCTGGCCCTCTCTGTGCACTCCCATCACTAGCAGGGTCCCCTCTCTACTAGCAAGGTCCCTCCGACCCCAGTCCTTTTCTGCTCACTGCAGCACCCTGGTCAGAACAAGGGTCCATTGCCCCTCACCGCTCCTCCAAACACCTTCTTCAATGTTTCAAGACATGTTCCCCACCGATGAGGACACTGAGCCCTGCTCTCTCGGTCTCCCGTGCTGCTGACACAGACACAAGCGAGTGTGTCTCCGTTCCCTGTGCTGTGACATCACAAGTGGCACACCTCATAGGACAGGGCTCGGAGATGCTGTCCGTGGGTTTACTAGGAGTCGTAGTCTACAGCACTCATCCTGGTCCCTTTACACCTGATTGGTTGATCACATTGTGGGAGATGACTGCATTGTCACATGTTGTTGTTATGTGCTGTTGAGTCGCCTGCGACCCATGGTGACCCTATGTCCAGCAGCTCTGAAGCCTGCCCTGAGCCAGTCTCATAATTCTGACACACCAACGCCCATTGCCACAGTTACTGTGTCAATCCTTCTCATCCAGCATCTTCTTCTCCTGCACTGGCCCTCCACCTTCCGAGCATGTCCTTCTTCAAGAACCAGTTCTACTTGGTCACGTGCCCTAAGTCTCAAAATCCTGTCATTCAAGGAGAAATTTGGTTTCACCCTCTCCAAGACAGCTATTTGTTTTCTTGGCCGTCCATGGTACGTTCAAGACTCTTCTCCAGCACCATGATTCTAAGGCATCGATTCTTCTGTCATCCTTAGTCACTGTCAGTTTTCTGATTCATAGCAAGTGATTACAAAGACCACGGCCTGGATCAAGAGCACCTTGGTCTCTAGACTGACATTGCTTTTCAGCACTCTGGAGCCGTCCCTGACAGCAGATTTTCCCAATGCAATTTGTCTTTTGATTTCCTGACTACTGGTGCTAAGAGTGTTGATTGTGGAGCTGAGCAAACTGTAATTGTTAACAACCCCCATCTCTTCTCTATCATGATGCTGCCAATTGGCTCAGTGGTGAGAATCTTTGTTTTCTTGATGTTGAGCTTCAATCCATACTGAAGGCTGCAGTCCTTGACCTTCTGCAGCAAATGCTTCAGGTCCTCCTCAGTTTCAGCAAGCAAGGTTGTGTCATCTGCATAACGCAGGTTGTTGATGAGTCTTTCTCCAACCCGGATGCCACATTCCTCCTCATAGCCCACCTTCCCGAATGACCAGTTCTGCATATATATTGAAAAGGTGTGGAGACAGCATGCATTCCTGATGCACACCTTTCCCAGTTTTGAACCATATACTGTTTCCCTGCTCTGTTCTGAGGACTGCTTCCTGGTCCAAGGATAGATTTCAAATAAGCACAATCAAGTGTTCTGGGATTCCCATTCTCCTCAAGGTTAGCCATAACTTGTTGTGATCCACACAGTCAAATGCCTTGGCATAATCAATGAAACACAGATAGACATTACTCTGGTACTCTTCGCTTTCTGCCCAGATACATCTGACATTGGTGATAATGTCTCTAGTGCCACGACCTCTTCTTCTAAACCCAGCTTGTATTTCTGGTAGTTCTCTGTCAATGTACTGTTCGAGTCGTTTCTGGATAATCTTCAGCAGGATTTTGCTAGCGTGTAATATTAGTGATACTGTTCTATAATTTCCACACTCTGTTTGTTGGGTCACCTTTTTTTAGAATGGGAATAAATATTGATCTCTTCCAGTCAGTTGGCCAGGTAACCTGGAGAGCACATCCAGGGCAGCATCTGTTTGTTAAAATATGTCAATTGATATTCCATCAATTCCTGGGGCTTTATTTTTTTGCCAAGTCCTTCAGAGCAGCCTGAACTTCTTCCTTCATCATCATTGTCTCTTGATCGTATGTTGTTTCTTGAAATTCTTCTGTGTCAGCCAATTCTTTTTGGTACAGTCATTCTGAATACTCCTTCCATATTCTTTTAATGCTTTCTGAATCATTCAATATATTGTCCATAACATCCTTAAACCTTGCAACTCACAGCTTGAGTTTCTTTAGTTTCTTCAGCTTAAGAAATGCTGAGCAAATTTGACCCTTTTGATTTTCTGACCCCACTGCCTTGCACATTTCATTATAAAACTTTGCCTTGCCTTCCTGAACAGCCCTTCAAAATCTTCTATTCAGCTTCTTAACTTCTTGATTTCTTCCCTTTGCTTCGGCTTCTTGGTGCTCTAGTGCAATATTCAGAGACTCTTCTCACATTCATTTTGGGCTTTTCTTCTTCCTTCTTTGTAATGACCTTTTGCATTCTTCGTGAATGATATTCTTGATATCTTCACACAGCTCATCTAGTCTTTGTTCATTAGTGTTCAAGGCCTCAAACCTATTCCTGTGTTGGATTTTAAATTCAGGGACAATAAGCTCAAAGTCAAATTTTTATTCCTGTGGATATGATTTGAACTTCTTTAGCTTTAATTTTAACTTGCCTATGAGCAGTTGATGGTCTTTTCCACAATCAACACCTGGCCTAGTTTTCACTGCTGATATTGAACTTCTCCAATGGTTCCTTCCACAGATGTAATCAGTCTAATTTCTGTGCATCCCATCAGGTGAAATCCATGTTTATAGTCTGAGTTTGTATTTCTTATAAAATAAGTATTTGCTATGAATAAATCATTGATTGTACAGAATTCTATCGTTCTATCCCCAGCCTCATTTCTGTCACCAAGCCCATATTTTCAGACTACTGCTCCTTCTTCCAGGTTCCTAATTTTTGCACTCCAGTCGCCCATTATTATTAATGCATCTGGTTACATGTTTGATCAATTTCTGACTGCAACAGTTGGTAGAAATCTATTTCATCCTCTTTGACTCAGGATGTTGGTGCATAAATTTAGGTGATAGTGGTATTAACAGGTCTTCCTTGTATGCATATGAATATTATCCTATCACTCACAATATTGTATTTTTTCTTACAATATTGTATTTTAAGATGGATCTAGAAACAGCCCTTTCTAACTATGAAAGTGACCCCATTTTTTCTCACCTTTTCCTCTTCAGTGTAGTAGATCATATGATTGTCTGATTCAAAATATCCCATGCCAGTCCATCTCATCTCACTAATATCTAATATGTCAATATTGATGTGTTCCGTTTCTTCCTTAACAATGTCCAGTTTTCCTACATTCCTGCTTCTCACGTTCCACGTTCCAGTCATGAGTTTCTGCTTACGACTGTTGTGCCTCCTTTGTGTTTCCTAATTTGAGGGCTCAGCCTCAGTTGCCATATCTGTTAGTCTACTCCAAGTGTGCTCTACTGTACATAGGGTTTTTAAAGACCTGTTACATTTCAGAAGTGGGTGGTCAATTGTTCGTCCTAGTCTGTCTTAATTTGGCTGCTTAGTTTTAGAACAACATCTGACAGACAAGCATTTTACCGAGCAGATGAAAGACACTTCCCTTACAGAAATAATGAATATATTCACCTGTCCCTACCCACCCCAGCACGTGTGTCTTGTCTCTTCCCTTTCGCTGCTACATCAGCATTCCTTGCACTCCTGTCTGCCAGGTCCAGCCCTCCCTTCCCCAGCCACGGAGCTGCCTCTAATCCCGTCTCAGTAACATCGTAGAGGAAGTTGACATGTATATTGAGGGGAGGGCATAATTCAATCTATGGCACCTATCCAGGTAGGAAGAGCCGTCATCAGGACTTTCAGGGCCTCCTGGATCTGGAAAGGCCAGGGGAGACACACAGATTCCAGGGGGAAGTAAGAAGGGACATGACGTGGACAGACCCTTGCATCACGGGACTGGGAAATGCTGCCGTACCAGCTGTAGCCACCAGGTGACGCCCTGGCCTGCTGCGGAGCCACACCTCCTCCACCCACCCCCGGAGGGACAGTGACGAGGACGGCAGAGACTGCAAGTCCAGAAACTGACCCTGTACGTCCACTCACTGCTCTGTGATCTGCCCAGAGAATCCACGGCCATTTCCGTCCCCTGGGCTTTGAGAAGTGTGGGTGAGATGTGCTCTGTGCTGGGATTATCACTGTTGATGCCAGAAAGGTCCTGGCTGAGAGCAGAGAAGACCAGAAAGGTGCTGTCTTTTACTGACTCTTCAACTGCATTCAACAGAGTGGATCCTAATAAATGATAAAGAACACTGAGAAAAATGGAAACTCCTCAACACTTAATTGGACTAATTCAGAACCTGTATATAAACCAAGAAGCTGTTATACCAAAAGAACACACACACCGCATGGTTCAAAATCAGGAAAAGTGTGTCCGGGTCATAGCCTTTCACTGTACCGGTCAACGTGTGTGCTGAGCAAGTCCTGCTGGACAGTGTGCTCTAGGAAGAAGGAGGTGGTGTCAGGATTGGAGGAAGACTCGGCAACAGCCCGTGTTATCCAGACGACACAACCTTGCTTGCTGAAAGGGAAATGAAATTGAACCACTTAATAAAGAAGATCAAAGAATAAACCTGCAGTATATGGATTGGACCTCACCAGAAAGAAACCAAAAATCTTCACCATGACAGGCAACATCTGGTAATTTAGAAAAGATTGAAGTTGTCAAGGATTTCCTCTCACTTGGATTCAAAACCAGCACTCATGGAAGTGATAGTCAAGAAATCAAAAGATGCATTTGGCAAATTTACTGTCACCAGTCTTTTTCAATTGCTGTTCGTTTAAACACGAAGGTGCATTTCCAGCGGTGATGGCAACACAGACAAGCTGACAGACTTGTCTCTCCCAAGAAGGGACAGAGTTATTCGAACTAAAGTCAAGCCATGGATAATCTGAACGTCCAGGTGCCTGGACGAACCCAAGGGAATGAACACTGACCAGCAGGAATAACAAGAAAATGGATAGGAAGCTCGTAAGCCCCTGGCTGATGGAGCAAAGCACAATTCCCACGGTGGGAGGGAAGGGGTGAACGGGGGACATCCACTGGGACCT